CGGTCCAGTACGCCGCGCATCAGCTCAACCTCTGGCCCCGTGTCTCCTTGCCTGAGACCTCGCCCACACTGCTGTGGACGGGGAAGGTTGGCGATGCGTCGCGTTTCCGGGTCTGGGGTGCTCGTGCCTTGGTCCGCGATGCCACCGCGGACAAGCTCTCCACCCGCGCTGTTCCCTGTGTCTTCCTTGGCTTTGTCCGTAACGCGCCTGGTTGGCAGTTTTACCACCCCGCCTCGTGCCGTGTCTTCCCCTCTCAGGACGTCACGTTCGACGAGTCGGTTCCCTTTTACCGTCTCTTCCCCTACCGCACTGCCCCTCTCCCCCCCCCCGCCGCTCTTCCTCGCTCCATGTGCTCCCCAGGTAGACCCCCTCCCCGCTCCCGGTCCTGCTCCTTCAGGTGTGTCTCAGGTAGACCCTCCTCTCTTGCCTGCACCAGTTGAGGTCACTGGTGACTCAGGTCCTGCTAAGGGTGATCCTGCTCGGGGTGCTGCTACTGGGGGTGCTGAGCCTTGGGATGCGGAGCCTGGGGGTGCTGAGCCTAGGGGTGCTGAGCTTGGGAGTGCGGAGCCTGGAGGTGCGGAGCTTGGGGGTGCGGGGACTTGGGGTGCTGAGTCTGGGCGTGAGGAGTCTGGGGGTGCTGAGGCTGGGGGTACTGAGTCTGGGGGTGCTGCACCTGGGAGCGCTGAGGCGTCTGGTGAGCAGTCTCCCGAGGGCAGCCGTCTCCGTAGTCACTCCGCTAGTACCTCGCCGCTGCACTCTCATCGTCGACTCCCTCTCTCCCCACAGCAGCTACGTGAGTGGTACGTTGGCCGTTAGGGTCGCGCTGTTGGAGCTAGGGGCCCTGCTGCGAGAGGCGCTGGAGCCGGTGCCTCTGTTACTGGAGTTGTTTCTGCAGGAGGTTCTGGAGCTGCTGAGGGTGCTGGAGCTAGAGGTTCTGGAGCTGCTGCGGGTGCTGGTGCTAGAGATTCTGGAGCAGGAGGTTCTGGAGCTGCTGAGGGTACTGGCGCTGGAGGTCCTGGAGCTGCTGCGGGTGCTGGCGTTGAGGGTTCTGAGTCTGCTGTTGCGCGGTCTCCTTGGAGTAGCCGCCTTCGTCCGCGTGTACCTCTCACCTCTCAGCAGCTGCACGACTGGTACGGTCGCCGTCAGGGTCGCGCTTCTGGGGCTCGGCGCTCTGCCGTTGGAGGTACTTTTGCTGCCGTCACTGGAGCTGGGGATGGTGCTGGTCTCGGAGGTGCTCGTACTGGAGGTACTGGAGCTGCTGGGGCTGGAGGTGCTGAGCCTGACGGTGCTACTGCTGGAGACCCTGGGTCTGGGGGTGCTGCTGCTGGTGACACTGAGGCAGGGGTCCCTGGGACTGGAGGTGCTGGTTCTGAGGGTGTTGCTACTGGAGGAGCTGGTCCTGGAGGAGCTGGCGCTGAAGGGTCTGGTGCTGCTGGAGGTGCTGGAGCTGCTGGGGGTGCTGGAGCTGCTGGTGCTGGTGGCACTCCACAGCCGCGCCTATTCTTTGCTCCGCTGTCTCCGTCGTCTCAGCGACCGTCTGACTCTGTACTTTGCTAGGTTCTTAGTCTCCCTTCGTCTACTGGTCTTCCGTTACAGCCTGGCTCACCGCTGCCTGCTCCTTCTCCTTACACTGAGCAATCAGGGAGTCTTACTGAGCGTCGTGAGCCTGCGTCGCGTCCTGTCTCGGCTGTCCGTTCTGTTCGTTTCGGTCGTCGTGTTCCTCGTTCGCGTCAGCCGGTTGTCCCCGGCACCCACCTCATAGTTCGTCGTCCTTCCTCTCCTCCGCAGCGTGTTCCCCTGCCGTCCCCTCCTGTGTCTTCTCTGCCTACCGTTCCTGAGCATGAGTCTGACCGCGTTCGTGCTGCTAGCCCTACTGTCACACGTCTGCTAGCCACAGTTGTCACACGTCTGCTAGCCACAGTTGTCACTGACCAATCGTTTGAGTATGCTGCTGCGTCTGCCTCAGTCGCTGAGCTTGTTGACTTTGCTGCTGCCTGTCGTCTAGACTACGCCACTAGTCTTGTTGTTGAGTTTGAGTCTGTCTGTCCTCCGTCTGTCGGGGGTGAGTGTGCTCTTGGCACGGACGTCCTTGAGGACAGGCAGGAGGACCTTGAGTGTCTTGCAGCCGCTGCGCCTCATCTCGTGTCCATGCTGCTTGCCCCTGAGGGAAACCCGGATGCTCCAGACATCCCGACCCCGCGCTCTTACGCAGAGGCGATCGCGGGTGAGTACTCCTCTCAGTGGCAGACGGCCATGGACGCAGAGATGGCATCCTAGAAGTCTACAGGCACCTACGTCGACGAGGTTCCCCCTCCTAGGGCAAACATCGTCAGTGGCATGAGGATTTTCAGGGTGAAGCGGCCGCCAGGTTCTCCGCCTGTCTTCAAGGCTCGTTACGCTGCTCGAGGTTTCAGTCAGCGAGAGGGAGTTGACTTCTTCCAGACCTTCTCCCCCACCCCGAAGATGACCCCTCTTTGGGTGCTGCTGCACGTTGCCGCTCAGCGTGACTACGAGCTTCACTCTCTTGACTTCAGCACAGCTTTTTTGCAGGGCAGTCTGCACGAGGAGATCTGGCTGCGCCGCCCTCCTGGCTTCACTAGGTCGTTCCCTCCTGGTACCCAGTGGAGCCTCCGGCGGCCGGTCTACGGACTCCGCCAGGCGCCATGTGAGTGGCACGACACACTGAGGACGACACTTGCGGCTCTTGGGTTCGCGCCTTCTACTGCTGACCCGTCGCTGTTTCTGCACACCGACACTTCGCTGCCGCCGTTCGACATCCTCGTGTACGCCGACGACTTGGTCTTTGCCACTGCTGACTCTGAGGCTCTCGCCTTGGTGAAGGCGGAGCTGCAGAAGAGACACGCGTGCACAGACCTGGGTGAGCTGCGCAGCTAACTTGGCTTGGAGTTCACCCAGGACAGAGCACGCCGCACCATCACACTGACTCAGTCACACATGGTGCAGCAGGTCCTTCAGCGCTTTGGCTTCACCTGGTCCTCGCCACAGCACACTCCTCTGGCTACAGGTCACTCGCTCTCAGCTCCACCTTCGGACGAGTCCGTAGAGCCGAGTGGTCCTTACCCAGAGTTAGTCGGCTGCCTCATGTACCTGATGACCTGCACTCGTCTTGACCTTGCGTACCCTCTTGGCCTTCTCGCTCGCTACGTGGCTCCTGGTAGGCACTGACCGGAGCACATGGCTGCTACTAAGAGGGTACTGCGCTACTTGTGCTGTACATCGGGCATGGGGCTCGTGCTTGGAGGGCGGAGCCCAGTTGTCCTCACTGGGCACCCGGACGCTTCTTGGGTTGACGACCTGGCTACACAGCGGTCGTCACAGGGTTACACCTTCAGCCTTGGCTCGGGCTCTGTTTCTTGGCGGTCTACACGCTCGTCTTCTATTCTCGGCTCCAGTTGTGAGGCTGAAATCTACGCCACAGCCATGGCTGCACAGGAGCTACGCTGGCTAACCTACCTGCTGACCGACCTGGGAGAGCGGCCTCGTTCTCCTCCAGTGCTGTACGTAGACAACAAGGCCGCCATTGCCTTGTGTCAGGAGCACAGACTGGAGCACAGAACGAAGCACATCGCTCTGCGTTACTTCCTTGCTCGAGAGTTGCAGCAGCGAGGTCAGCTTCGTCTTGCTCACGTGGCCATTCGGGCCAACACTACTGATATATTCACCAAGGCACTTCCGTCTGGTGATCATCAGCGTTTCTGTACTTTGTTAGGCCTGGTGCCTACGTTTCCTCATTTGCTGTAGACCTTGTTTGTACTGTGATCTATATATATACCTGCATGCTTGCTTTGCTAGGTAGAGATCACAGTGATGCTGTTGTTGCATATATACCTCTGCATGTGAACTGGCCTTGTGGCCCTTTGCTTGTGCTCAGTGTGTGTGGTGACGTTGTGATCCACCCTGAGCTTGTTTTGCTTCTCTTGACTGGTCTTGAGACCCCTTGCTCTCCCCCACTTTGCCTATGGGGGTGTGTCAAGCTATGATAATGCTTGTGCTGTGTAGGCTGTAGTGGGGGGTAGCCCATAAGGGGTACAACCTAAATTAGGGTTACCGTAAGCCCCTGGATAGAAGCGCAGGCCTAGGATAAGCGCCGGCGCTTATAAAAGGATGAGGGCGCTTATATCCGGTCCTCGATTATAAGCGCACCCGCTAGAAAAAGATGATATATTATAAGCGCATGTTTGTTTTTTATTTGAAAACCTTTCAACTATCAGAAACGAATTTCACATAATCAGGGAAACGAACTACAATTTCGATTTCCCACACTCTGAACTCACTATTTGCGCGTCTAGTCAGCATGTGCTGTAATTCTGTCAGGGTGAGCTGGCAGGGAATCACTCCCTGCCAAGCTGCGCGAGAATCAGATTAGCGACCCTATATGTTTTCGACTCGATTACAATCGGTAGAACGAGATATACAGTTTGGTGTAAAACAAATACCGTATATATTCTTTTTGCTATTTTATAAGCGCCGGCACTTATAAAATTTCTCAATTATAAGCGCACCCCCTAAAAAACAGTGTTTTTTTATAACCCCAGGGGCGCTTCTATCCGGGGGCTGGCGGTAGGATATGTACCCACATCTCTGTTCAATGCATTCATTCCTGCTGCTAGATTCTGACACGGTATGCTGTGCGTGTCCGACAACCAAGAAGTTGAGGGACGAGTGCATTGTGGAGCACGGGGAGGAGTGCACCAAGTGGATGGAGGCACACAAACAGTGCTTAAGAAGCGAGGGCTCTAATGTCACACTGTACGGTAGTTACCATTGCTCTTATAGTTACTGCAGCAGGGGGAAAGGGCAGCACTAGTCAGTCAGCCTGAAAAAATAAGTGATTCTCAGGTGCATAGCATATACACAAGGGCTTAACATACATGTACCGATGCAACATTTGCCTGCTTTCCGCCACCTTCAGTCCATATTTAGATCACACCCCAAAAAAAAACCAGGGCAAACAGAATCCACCACTCAGAACTCAAAAATCAGCGCTCAAACAGAATGCACTGCTCCTTGGCAATTACTACCCCCGGAAGCACACCGATGTCCAACGCCAGAAGCGTACCCACGTTAGTCTTAATCCTCTCAAGCCCTGGTAGGCTCTCCAGGCACGCTATCCCCCTCTCACCCAATCTACAGTCCTTCAACTCCAGCCTCTTCAGCCCCGTCAGCTGCTTCACATGCTCCATGCCCGTGTCTGCGAGATCTGTCGGCGCAGAGAAAATCTTCAGGTTGGTTAAGGCGGTCAGGTGCCGCAGGCCCTTGTCCCTGACCCTACTGCCCCGGAGATACAGCTCCTCCAGGCCTGTCAGCCTCCCCACGTGCACCATGCCAGCATTCGTGACGCTCCCACAGTTATGCAGCCACAGGATTTTGAGCGAGGCAAGGCTTGTCAGGTGCAGCAGCGCAGCATCAGTTACCTTGGTATAGCTCAGGCAGAGATCCTTGAGTCCTGTCATGGCATTGATGCCTTCCAGGGCATTCTTGGTACGGCCGTCCAGAATGGGAGAGTGCCGGAGGTCAAGCTTTGCCAGACCTGCCAGCTTGAACACGTGCTTTAAGCCCGCTGCATCGAAGCCTGAGGAGGCGATTAAGCTGAGCTCTTTCAGGTCGGACATCTTGGGCACGTGGCGGAGAGCAGCGTTGGAGAGGGTGGTGAGATTGTTCAGCTCCAACGAGGTCCGTTCTGGTGTGTGTGCGCTCCATGCTGACAGCACTTTCTGGGGGAAGAAACACACAGACGCACAAGACATTGCTTGAATTGAGGCGCATTTTCTGCTTACCTACGAGATCATTCGAAGAAGAAACGTTGTAAAAGGCAGAGACATGTGGTACAGACATAATGTATGTCCATGTGCATGTGGCCAAACACATGTTGCTGCAGAGCAGTAAGAGCACAAAAAGTGCTGAAAAGAGAGGGATATACAAGAAAGATAACTGTGCATGAGTCCCTCTTACCTCCCATGTGTGCTTGCCTTCCCCCTGGCTGCGTGCAACTTCCGCGACAACTTTCCAGACACGATTACTCAGTTTAGCAACCTCCAATCTCATGGCTGTTACCTCCTCTGGCTCCCCCTTCTCTTTCTCCTTCTCCTTCTCCTCCCCCTCCATGCCCTTCTCTTCACCAGACCACCGAGTCACACCATTCTTCTGCAATGCAGCCACTGCTGATCCTAGCTCGATCAACTGCTTCTCAACGCATGCCTTGCCGCTGCTTCTCAGCGCCTGGCCCTTCACCTCCACCATCCGTTCCTTCACTCCAGTCAACTGCCTTTTGACTTCAGTTACCTCGTTCTTTACTCCTCCCAGAATTTTCTTCACTCCAATCACCTCCCCTTTGACCCCAGTCATTTTCCCCTTCGCTTCCACTAATTCCGCTTTTACTCCTATCACCTCCCCCTTCACTGCAGCCAGCTCTCCCTCTCCCCTTTCCACCACAGCGGCTGTAGCCACACTCCTCTCTCCCACAGCATCTAGTGCTTGCTTCAACCATTCGACCTTACCTTCCAGAACAAAGTTTCGATTCTCCAGCATATGTACTCGGTCATTTTGCCTAGCCAGCTCCTCTCTAACTGCGGCCAACTCCCCTCTCAACATTCCAAACAATCCATTCATCCCTTCCCTTTCGACAGCCATCAGCTTTTACCAGCGAATGAACTTCAAAATCCTTCTTCTGGAAACGTGGCAACGTGGATTGTAAAGAATTGGATGAACGGTGGTAATTAGAGGCAGACGCGCATAGGATGCGAATAAAGAGTGGAATTAGAGTGGAATTACAGCAGGGTGGTATCAGAAGACAACCATGAGAATTGCGATAAAAGAAGGAGCTTCAAGATTACGAGACCTCACTAAAGGAAGAGCTTGAAGAGAGCGAGCTAAACCACCGGCTTGAGAAGAAAAAGTCCTAGTAACGACAAGAAGGAAACAAAGGGGCGCAGAATTCACGGTCTAACGCGGGCTAGACAATACAATTCCCAAGGAAAGAGAGCTACGATACCCAAGGAAAGAGAGCTACGAAATGTAAGTGAAGTAAAAGAAACGTGCGATTCTGCAAGGACCGGGAGCATCCCAAGTTTTGTGAACCAAACAACCCACGGGCTGACAAACGTAGATATTATACAGTTCCTTGTTACTTTACGCATAAGAGCCTGGCCTACACCACAGGCTAGAAGAGACTTGCAACAACGTTCACACATGTCACTTTAGACGGACTGTAACAACCTGGCGTGAAGTCACTTAGGCGCTCAACGTGCCTGGAGCGTTCAACGTGCCTAGATGAACGAGCGTTAAGCTCAGCGCACACCTGGCAGGGAGTCTTGTGTACGTAGGTGACGAGAAACGCATGAAAGGGGTTAAAGAGAGAAGGGAGAGCATAAAATGACCCCTTAGCGAAGCAGAACATTATACGACGGTTTCGACGTCACCTAGGTAGCCTCATAAAGAATTTCGCTAAACTGAAATATCTTGCTGCTAGAGGAGTGCACTAGGAGAGTCACCATGGCGCCTTGTCGCATTTTTTTCGGTCCTAACTGAGCTCACCCACGGAATGGACTGCCACGCGATGTGAATGTTCGCCTTCAAGCTAAAATCGCGAATCTCCAACGAGGATATGAGGCGGAAAGAGCACGGCAGCGAATGGTATACGCGAGAAAACAGGATAGCGTGAGGAAGGGGCTTGACGGAGGAGAGTATAGAAAATTACTCGCAGAGGGACACAGACAGTTGATGATGCTGAGTCGTGAAGTGGACTTCTCTTATTAGTGGTTTGTTTATTCATGCAAATCAGATAGGTTTGACTGGACCCTTGGGAATGTGAGGCACCACGTCACGAGTGGCGAGGTGGTGAGAGAACCCGCACACATTTCTTCAAACAGAATCACTACCTTTTGACATCGTCTATCAGTGAATGTGACAGAACGCTGCCCCATGAAACCAGAACTGTCGCTCGAGCCTTCGCTTTGCGCATCTCCGCCAGACAACTAAGGAGCAACGAGGTTCAAGTTTCTGGTAAAGGGAGGTTTCTGGTACAGACGACACTGCGATAGTGCAATACTGTACAACAAGGTGCAACCGCCAACGTGAACACCGTGGCGCCACCACGTGTTGGTCAGTGACTCGTGTTGGCACCAAGCCGAATCTGGTCAAGTTCTTTCACCCAATCCCGGCGCAATAAAGCGATATCTGATTGGTCGTAACATCTCGAGCATCAAAGTGACGCAACTGTTTCTGAAGTTGCATATAGTAACAAACCGATAACAATCAAATCAGCAATAACAAGGATTACTTCATGGTGTGAATCACTTCGGTGCTTATTCTGCACAATCTATTCTCGGATTCTCTAGAAATGCAAGACAGCACATTCGCTGTGACCCTCCCTACCCTCATGGGCATAGACCCAAGCCTGCCGGTGACTCAGCCTGCCAAATCATCCACCCTCGCTGTACCCTCACACACACTTGGCGCGATATGGTGGTCTTGATGCCTGCTTTGCCGCCTTGCATGATGATCTGAGAGTGGCCCCATTTGTTGTGACCGCTGAGTCGACTCAAAGGTCATTCGCATTGCCCCCATCCATCACACACACTTGGCACGATACAGTGGTCTGGATGCCTGCTTCGCCGCCTTGCGCGATAATCTATGCGGCACCCCATTCGTTGTGCCCCGTCCTCCCTCCTCTCCCTTCTCGTCCCTCATGCCTTGCACCGATGCCTGCTGGTGAATCCCGGCCACCTCATCTGCCCGCGATGCAAACACCAAGTCATGAAAATTCTTCCCTGATCTCCTCTCTCCCTCCCCTTTCTTATCCCCTTTTCCCTGCTTCACCCCCTTGCCACCTCCCCCACTACTCGCTTCCCCATCCCCATCCCTGCTCCCCTCATCCTCCCCTTCCCTCACCTCCCCTGCCTCCCCCATTTCCCTCATCATCCTACTCTCCTCTATCTGCTTCTTCCTGAACCACTCATGCGCCGCCACGTGTGCAGCTGCCATGTCACCGCTGTACGGAGCAACCTTCACCATAGTCACAAGCCGCCTGCTCCACCGCTTGGTCAGAATCTGCTCGCTATTGGCCACCAGCTTCAGGCACGGATGCCCCGGAATTTCCTCGGGCAGATACTCCTCTCGGGCAGCAGGGTAGAAATAAACAAGCCGCCCACCAATGACGAGCAGACGGGCAGACGTGTCTAAAAGATCGTGGAGGCACTCTTCCAGGGAGTAAGGGGCGGTGGAGGGAATGTGGGCAGCTTTCAAGTTGTCTGCTATGGCGTACGGATCTGTCACCCCGTTGAGAATTTTCCTCCCGCCCGACTTTCGGCCGCCTGCCCGGACGCCGTAGGGAGGGTCACCGACGATGGCATGGAACATCTGGATATAGAAGAGTAAACCACGGGGAAAAAAAGTAGGAATACTTTAGGCGAGTGGGTGGGTGAAGGAAGGGATCGAGCAAAGCATTGTACTTATGGGCGCCTGCTAGGGAAGGTCAGGGACGATGGCATGGCATGGAACATCTGGAGATAGCAGGGGAAACCACGGGGAGTAACACATATGAATATACTCTTTGGAGGTGGGTGAAGGAAGGGATTAAACAAAGCATTGTACTTTTGAGGCGCCCCCCAAAAGGGCAAGAGGTGCTCAAAAGTCATTAAAGTCTTGAGCGCACCTTGTGAGAAGTGGCCCTCAAAAGCCCTCAGAACCCACGGGCTTTTGAGAGTGGAGCTTGCTCGTATGGGAGAGGGGACGAGCAGGGAGAGGGCAAGAGGTGCACGCACCTCTCGCAGGTCTTGCCTCCAGGGAGGGCAGTTGTTGTCTGCTTGCAGCAATCCCAGTGGTGGCTTTTGAGGCGCATCACATGTCCTCAAAGTTCAAGCACACACCTCTAGTAGGTCACTTGAGGCACCTTGAAAGTTGGCTCTTTTTAGGGCCTCAAAAATCACACGCACCTCTCTTAAGTCTTGCCTCCAGGGAGGGCAGTTGTTGTCTGCCCGCAACAAGCCCACTGGTGGTTGAAGCGAGTACTGCACGGGAGAATAAGGAGAAAATAAGGAGAGGAATAAGAAAGAAGAAAATGAAAGAAGAGAATACAGTGGAAGGCGAGGGAATGAGATGAGACGGAAGGAGAGACAAGGAATGAGGGAATGAGAGGGTCAGCAAGTGTAAGCAGAGGAGGGGAGGAGCCATAGCGTGGCAAGGGCTAGCGAGTTGGCTCACCTGGTGGAAGTTGGCCCACAATACTCACAATGCTCTCACGCTATGACTGCACACTATGGCTGCACTCTGAATGCTCACCTGGTGGAAGTTGGCCCACAATACTCACAATGCTCTCACGCTATGACTGCACACTATGGCTGCACTCTGAATGCTCACCTGGTGGAAGTTGGCCCACAATACTCACAATGCTCTCACGCTATGACTGCACACTATGGCTGCACTCTGAATGCTCACCTGGTGGAAGTTGGCCCACAATACTCACAATGCTCTCACGCTATGACTGCACACTATGGCTGCACTCTGAATGCTCACCTGGTGGAAGTTGGCCCACACGTCCCGATTGGGGCCCTTGCCGTCGCGCACCACCCGGATGTCAATGTCCGCTCCCTGATATTGGTGGTGGTAGGGGAGTCGGAGAGCGGGGGAAATGGAGGCCAGCTGACTTTTGAGTCGACTCGAATGTGGATTGCAGCCCTTCCAGTCCCAAAGCCCAATTGATTGGATCGATTGCATGCCAATTCTCACCAGGGTGGATGTGATCCTGAATGATGCAAGCCACCCTCTCACCAACGTGACAAGCGGCCACCAGGATGCTCCCCGTGCCCACCAACGGGTCGTACATGAGTGCTCCGCGCCGCGCCACACACTAGTCTGATGTGGTTGTAATGTTGTACGCGATAATGAGTAACTCTCACTTACCAGAGTGACGGCGCCAAAGTGAGCAGCAGCCACCAGGATGCTCCCTGTCCCCACGAACGGGTCGTACATGAGCGTGCCGCGCCGCGCCAGTGCCTGATTGGCCATGAGTAGCGACAGCTCAGCGTCCATGGCGGTGGGACCCAAGTAGCGCCGGCGACTCAACTCGTACTTGGTGGCGACCGTGCGGTCTGATACTGCCACCTGTGAGTGTTGAGAGGGGGGAGATATGTGAGGAAGGAGGGAAACGTGTGCGGCAGCAGAGGGGATTTTCAAGGTACTGTCGGCGGCTGAGCTCGTACTTTGTTGCCACTGTGTGGTCTGACACTGCCACTGTGTGGTCCGACACTGCCACTGTGTGGTCTGACACTGCCACTGTGTGGTCCGACACTGCCACTGTGTGGTCTGACACTGCCACTGTGTGGTCCGACACTGCCACTGTGTGGTCTGACACTGCCACTGTGTGGTCCGACACTGCCACTGTGTGGTCCGACACTGCCACTGTGTGGTCCGACACTGCCACTGTGTGGTCCGACACTGCCACTGTGTGGTCCGACACTGCCACTGTGTGGTCCGACACTGCCACTGTGTGGTCCGACACTGCCACTGTGTGGTCTGACACTGCCACCTGTGAGTGGGCGGGGGAGGGAGGGGGGAAGCACAGCAACAGCAACTGTGGGTAAGGAGGGAGGGGCTACCTGTGGGTAAGGAGGGAGGGGCTACCTGTGGGTAAGGAGGGAGGGGGGCCAAGGAGGGGGGGGGGGGGGGGGGGCAGCGACCCTGTGCAGTCAGGCAAGTGCAGAAAGCAGTAGCTCTGTATCCATGACAGATGGGATGGGTGGGGCGACTACCTGCAGTGGGGCGACTACCTGCAGTGGGGCGACTACCTGCAGTGGGGTGACTAACTGCAGTGGGGCGACAAACAGGCACCTCTCTTCCCTCACACGCACCTCTCCTACCCCGCACGCACCTCTCGGCCAATGAACACGCACCTCTCGGCCAATGAACACGCGCAAGGGCATGTTGGGTGGGAGGCCGTTGTTGGTGCATTCTGCTGCCTGCTCTATCACCCAGAACTTGTAGTCGGGCGAGCCCAGCTTCACCTTGCCCTGCCACGTTAAAGGGGGGACGGCACAGGAAAAATCAAGGGTAAGGAGGACAGGCAGAAGGGAGGGTGGAGGCTGTTGGTGGTGTCATCTGCCTGCTCTATTGCCCAGACCTTGTAGATTGGCTAACTCAGCTTCACCCATCCTTGCCATGCCAAGAGCAAGGGGGAAACAGAGGCTAATGAGGGCAGGGTGAGAGGGGAGGAAGGTTGCGCGACGGAGGAACGTCGATGGGGGGAGGGGAGTGTTGTTGGTGCAGTCTGCTGCCTACTCTATCATCTATAACTTGTAGTCGGGAGAGCTGAGCTTCACTCGGCCCTGCCAAGCGTACGTATGATTGGGGCAGGTAGGTTAAAGTGAGGGTAACGAGAGCCGCCAGGGAGACGGAAGGAGGGGGTGGGGTGGAGGGGGTGTTGTTGCTGCCGTCTGCCGCCTGCTCTATCACCTAGACCTAAAATCATGCGAGCTCAGCTTCACTCGGCCCTGCCATGGCAAGGGGAAGGGCGGAGATTGCAGGGGAAATAGAGGGTATCGAGGGCAGGCCGGGGGAACGGGGAGGGGAGGCAGGGGAGTGGGTTGTTGGTGCCGTCGGCCGCCTGCTCGATCACTCAGAACTTCAAGTCAGGCGAGCTCAGCTTCACTCGGGAGTCGGCCCTGCCATGGCAAGGAAGAGGGAGGGGGCATATCGCAGCGAGAACAGAAGAGGCTGCCTTTCTTTGTGCTGCTGTTGGCTCAACGAGGATGGGAATGTACCTCTTGGCCAATGGGAATGTACCTCTTGGCCAATGGGAATGTACCTCTTGGCCAATGGGAATGTACCTCTTGGCCAATGGGAATGTACCTCTTGGCCAATGGGAATGTACCTCTTGGCCAATGCGCATTTACCTCTTGGCCAATGCGCTGCGCATCTACCCAACCCACCCACCTCGAAGGGGATATATGCAAATCGTTCCATCCTCTCCCTCTGCTCGTCCATGGAAAAGATCTTGCCGAAGCCGTCCACTACCATGAGAGAGAGGGGAGGGGGGGAGGAGAGTATCAGCCTACACCGACCACCATACGCACGCACCCCCCACCCACCTGGAAGGGGATGTATGTGAATCGCTCCATGCGCTCCCGCTGCTCGTCCATGGAGAAAATCTTCCCAAAGCCGTCCACCACGATCTTGAACGTGGACCCGGGGGCTGTGAAGGGCGCGATCTTGGTGGTGATGTTCGCCTCAACCTGCGGCTTTAGTGCCTCGTAGGTCGGGGCCTCTGCCCATATGTCGAATATCCCCTTTATAAGCAGGCCTGGGCGGGTGGGGAGGGGTGGAGAGAGAAGGGAAAAAGGAGGAACAGGAGGGTGGGTGGAGCCAGGGGCTGTGATGTGAAGGGCACGATTTTTGTGGTGACCTGCGACTTTAGTGCCTCGAACATTGGTGCCTCCGCCCATATGTCGAATATCCCCTCAACGAGCAGGCCTGGGGGGGTGGGGGGGTGGAGAGTGAGGGGTTAAGGATGATGACGTGGGAGTTGAGATATTAGTGATGGGGTAGGAGAGAGGGTGGGAGACGAAAGTGTCATGGGCTGCGTCTCTGAGAATACGGTGGGTATGGAGATAGGATGGAAGGACTGGGGAGCGTGTGGAGAACAAGCGTAGCAGGTAACGGCGTTTGGACACATCTCAAAGCAGGTAACGGCAAAGGGTGTCTCTGAGTGTTTGTTTAGGAGGAAAGGAAAATTGATGAAGTTGCATGGGATGATGAGGAGGAATGGCACGTGGGAGGGCTTATGAAGGGTTTTTCCGGCGTCAGCCAATCAAACATATTCACCCGACCTCCTAAACCCCCTGTAGCAGGCAAACAAAGAAACCCTGAACCCTGCAAGCTTGTAGATTGTACGACCCGCATCCTAATCTCTCCTCCATGCAACTTGCCGCAGTGATGGATACATGGGAGTGATGGGAATGACGAACAGAGAAACTTCAAAACCCTGCAACCTGGGAAACCCTCCTTCGCGCCACAAGAGGCGCGCATTCTCTTCACCTAAACCCTGAACCTTGACAAGCCAATCGATAAACCCCAGATGCGGAAAACCCTCCCCGCGACTGCAGAGTTTAGAAAGTCAACCCTCAAACTGGCTCGCAATTCGGACCGCAAACATTTGAATCTCGAAGCTTCGGAGTGACACCGCATACAACGCCATGATTTCAGGACTAGAAGGTCCTGCCTTCGCGAAGCAATGGCTGCTGAAATGGCCTATTTAATATGCGGCTGAGATACGGATATCTATTCGACGCCTAGCGATTGTGTTAATCTCTTCGCCGACTCACTTCTAGCGGCAATTTGCCTCGCCACGTCATCAGACGGCAGATCCACGTAGAAGAACGGCGAGTCCATGTGATCGCCACGTGGCTTCCTCCATCTTACTGGCTCCCATTCACTCCCGCCTCCCCCTGATATCTCATACTCCTCCCGTCCTTCCATCTCACTGCCCCCTTCTCCCCGCCTCGTCTCCTCGCTGCCTTCGTCTCCCCTCACTCCCTCGACCACCCGATCCCCTTCGTTCCGCTTCTCTCCGCCCCGCTCTCCCTCAGATAAAGCCGAGCCGGCAGGCGGCTGCAATTCCACGTCATCGTGACGTGGCGCGGCGTGATGAGCTGGCGGCTGCACGCCAGCGAGGACGGCGAGCGACTGCAGCTCGTCGAGGCGGAAGTCGAGGTGGCGGTGCATGAAATACGCCAAGTACCACATCGTGCCTTGCCGTTACTACCAGGTAGGTACGAGAATGAAATGCTGCTGCTGCTGCTGCTGCTGCTGCTGGTGAGATGGGCCTGCACTTGCTGCTGCCGCTGCTGCTGCTCGAGCTGCTTATGCTGAAATCCACACCGTTACCAGTTAAGGTACTAAAATCCTTACTAAGGTGACGACGGTTGCTGCTGTGGAGATAGTGGCACGTCACGTCTATTGCGACATCGCATGAGTCAGTTGTTGGTCATGAACTGGACGCGCGACGCCTCGTCAGGAGAGGAGGTAGCGAGGGGAGTGAGGCTGTGGGGAAAGGAAGGATCCGCCATAAAGACTGATTTCCGGAAAATGACATGTTCAAGAAATGACGGTTAACAAATCGGCAATAAAAGAGAGAAGCCAGCTAGAAATATAGTCTACCAAAATTGAATCACTCATTCGGACAGCCCTGGCTCTATTTCAATTTCAACAATTACGAATGCCGATGTATTTAGCATTTTGGAATTTTATAGTGCATTTGTATTTTAACATATCGTTATCTTTCTGTTCTCGCCAGGGCTGATTTTATCAAGGTAATTACCCTGATTTCAGGGTGATTACAGGCTTCTGACTTGGTGGTCCCTGCAAACTCAGTTTTTGTATTTTGTGAACTCTGATCCAATCAGAGAAGCTACTTAACGGATTCTGAATTCTTGTAACTAGGCTCAGAGTAGTGTAGTTGCGGACTCTGTCAATGTAGGGTATGCGTTCCGTGGACCCTGAATGCGAGGGTATCGGGATGAAGTTTCCTAGAAGCTTCGTTTCGATAACCCCCTTGTGCGTAATCATTTCTTCGAGTGGCCCCATGTGAGGTACCCCCTCCACGCGCACGTGAGTGACGTAATACCGACAAAGGAAAACACCGACGTGCTGTACATCACAGCTGGCAAGAGCGACAACGCAGCCAAATCAATGATACGGTGCTACCACGCGCACCGCACAGTGCACAGCATGCGTCTGCCATTGGCCAGAACGGCCTGTTGACACCATGCGGTGGCAGCCAAGGAGTCCGTGAATGAATTCGGCCTTGAATGCAAGGACGAATTCATCGTCGAATGTTGCCATCAAGTCCGTGGAATCGTGGCGCGGTGGTTTCCTGCTAATCCCACCATCTCCAACCTTCCCTTCCCTCCCCCTACCCAACAGCCAACGTTCCTTTGTTCACTAGTGTTTTCTTTCCATTCCGTGCATTCATTGTCTCATTTTCCTCTCGTTCGGTTTAGCCACCAATCTTGCCGCCATGGAGGCCATGCCGGCTGACGAAGCTGCTCCGGACACTGGCCCCGACGAGCCACCTGTACCAGCGAAACCAACAACGCCGTCCCAGCCGGAGAAAGCTTCGGATGCTCCCCGCTCTGGGCTAGATTTTCTTAGAGCTACGGCTGCTCCCGTCACACCTGAACCGCCTAGGTCTACCGTTCACGACTCTGCCCCTGTAGTAACCCCTACTCCTACTGCTTCTCCTATTCGCGTCCCGTTCACTCTCCCCCTGGATGTTGCTGGCTGCAGCAAAGATCCTCCACCGCCCTCGCCCAGTCCTACTCCAAGCACGTGTCAGAATATTATCTTATTGTTCTAGCCTGTAGTGGGGTGCTCTATAGCGAGTACAACCCTTCTAGGGTTTGCTATTTGTATCCTCATTCTTGCTAGTTCAATCCTCTTTCTTTCTTCTAATTTTGACAGCACTGTGCGGGTGTCGCTTGGCCCGCCGTCGGCTACTTCCGCTCCCAAGCGTGCGCGATCTGGGAAGTGGGCGTAGAGTACTCTGCTGGTAGGAGGCCGCCGTATTCCACCGCCGGAAAAGCCCGATGAGCCTGCACAGAAAGTGATAAAAGTAGAAGAAAGAAGAAGAGTTGAACTAGCAGGAATGAGGATACAAATAGCAAACCCTAGAAGGGTTGTACTCGCTATAGAGCACCCCACTACAGGCTAGAACATAAGATAACATTCTGACACACCCCCATAGCCAAAGTGGGGTGTAATCAGCAGAGCAGGCAAAGCACTACAAGCTCAGGGTGGATCACAATGTCACCACACATTCTGAGCACAAGTTCAAGAAGCAATAGTTTAAAGTTCACAATTATGAGCAAAGCTAGTGGTAGTCACAACGGGCAAGTGAGGAGGTGGAGAGAGAGTGAGGGGAGAGGAGATAGGAGGCGACGGCTGAAGCTGCAGACACACGGGCAACAGTAGGCAGACTGGCACAGCGGCTACCGGGCGAAGCCCCCGGAATACTGGAGTAACTGGCCCCGCGGCTAAAGTAGCGGCAGACGAGCAACGGACCCACGGGCGGCTGGCGTAGAAGTCTACGACTGGGCTACCGGGCGAAGCCCCCGGACTACAGGTGCTGCTGGCGACACGACGGCAACCTCCGTGCAACTTCCCAAAACAGTCCCACTCCCCCGACACACACCCGCTGCTACACCCCTAGCTCCACTCCCACGCACCCCCTTTAAACCCTAAACCCCAGTCTCCCACACATCCACCCCCCTCAGCGACAGCTGCAGCAGTGGGAGACAAAGGAGGAGGAGCAAAGGGAGGAATGAGGAAGTGACACCCCCATACTCGCCACCCCCTGCTTGCCACCCCCAAACCCTAACACAGACAGGGTGGGATGGCGGGTAGGCAGGGTGGGATGGCGGCGCTCGCCCCCCTCCCCCAGCGGCCCCCGAGGGAGCCGCGACGGGCGACGGGAAATGGGACCGGGGCGCAAGGAGGGCGGCGGGGCCACGGGTGTAGGGCGGCGGGGCCGCGACAGAAGGGCGGCGGGGCCGCGAAGTGGGGCGGCGGGGCTGCGAACGTGGGGTAGCGGGGCCGCAAAGGAAGGCGGCGGGGCCGCGACGGTAGGCGACGGGGCCGCGAAGATAGGTGGCGTGGCCGCGACCGTAGGTGGCGGGGCCGCGAAGGTAGGTGGCGGGGCCGCGTAAGGTAGGGCGGCGGGACCGCGAAGGTAGGTGGCGGGGCCGCGTAAGGTAGGTGGCGGGGCCGCGTAAGGTAGGCGGCGGGGCCGCGACCGTAGGTGGCGGGGCCGCGAAGGTAGGCGGCGGGGCCGCGAAGGGTCCCCGTCGCTCGTCGCGGCGCCTCCAGAAGGCGACGCGGCGAACGACGGGGCAGAAGCCCGCCGCGCGCCTCGGGGCGCACAGCGGGCAGAGAACCGCCGCGCGCCTCGGGGCGCACGGCGGGCAGAAAACCGCCGCGCGCCTCGGGGCGCAAGGCGGGAAGAAAAAATGGCAGCGGAAGCGAGGAGGTGGTAACCCACCCACAGGATCGATCCAAGGGGATCGACCTGCTCTGATACCATGATAAAAGTAGAAGAAAGAAGAAGAGTTGAACTAGCAGGAATGAGGATACAAATAGCAAACCCTAGAAGGGTTGTACTCGCTATAGAGCACCCCACTACAGGCTAGAACATAAGATAACATTCTGACAGAAAGAAGCTGAGCTGTCGGAAGAAGGCGACATCCCGGTGCGCGCGGATACCGGCTCGCCCGCACTCACCAAGGCGCAGCTGCGAGAGCAGATGTACTTGGAGGCGAGTATTAATTACGAGACGAAGTGGTCGGGATACTTCTCTTGGCTTGTGTTTGGGAAAACCAAGGACGGTTTCCCGTACGTGAAGTGCAGCATCTGCATGTCGTACGGTAAGGGGAACACGAGGTATTGTCAGATTATTATAGCTGATGCATGTTTGTAGGCTATAGTGGGGTAGCACATATGGGGTACAGTTTGCTAGGGTTGTATTTGTACCCAACTCTGACTTAGTCAATTCATTCCTGTTCAGTTAGTTTCACATGGTATAGAGCGGGTCCCTCCTAAGGACCGTTCTTTGGGCCCACCCACGATTTTTTTTTCCTGCCCGGAGCGCGCCCTATTCTCCCCGAGGCGCGCTCCCCCTAGTGCGCGTCGAGCTGCCCTTGTGGCGCCCCGAGAGTCGCGCGCGCGACTCATTTTTTTCGCGCGCGCGGTTCAGGCCCCACTTCGCGCGGCCCTTACAGCCGCGCCGCGCCGCCCTCTCGGCTCTGCCGCGCCGCGCCGCCCTCAAGACGGCCGCGCGGCCTCTTCGTCGCTGCAGCAGGCCCCCCCCCCCCCCCCCGCTGCACCTCTGTCGGCCCCGCAGCCGCCTTACCTGACGGCCGCCGCCTCACCTGACGGCCGCCGCCTCACCTGACGGCCCGCCGCCTCGACTTCTGGCCCGCCACCTCACCAGACGGCCCCCCCGCCTCACCTGACGGCCCACCGTCTCACCTGCTGGCCCGCCACCTTACCTGACGGCCCCGCCGCCTCACCTGACGGCCCGCCGCCACCTTACCTGACGGCCCCGCCGCCTCACCTGACGGCCCGCCGCCTCACCTACTGGCCCGCCACCTGACCTGACGGCCCCGCCGCCTCACCTGACGGCCCGCCGCCTAACCTGCTGGCCCGCCACCTCACCTGACGGCCCGCCGCCTCACCCGCTGGCCCGCCACCTGACCTGACGGCCCCGCCGCCTCACCTGCTGGCCCGCCACCTGACCTGACGGCCCCGCCGCCTCACCTGACGGCTCGCCACCTCGCCTGCTGGCCCGCCACCTGACGGCTCCGCCGTCCCCTGTCCCGGCCCCGCCGCTGCACCCTGACGGCCCCGCCGTCCCCTGTCCCGGCCCCGCAGCTGCACCCTGACGGCCCCGCCGAGCCGCCCAGCAGCAGCCGAGCCGCCCAGCCGCAGCCGAGCCGCCCAGCGGCAGCCGAGCCGCCCAGCGGCACCCGAGCCGCCCAGCAGCAGCCGAGCCGCCCGGTACCCGAGACGCCCGAGCCGCCCGAGCCGCCCGAGCCGCCCGAGCAGCCCGAGCCGCCTGCTGCTGACCTACCCGACTCTCCCATCCTGGTGAGACTTTCAGCTGCTGCCATGGCCACCCCCAATGTTCTCACTTTTGACGCTGAGGGGAGGGCCATTGACTTTGCCGTCTG